CATGAATACGAAGGGACATTTAGAATGGAATTTACTGTTGTGAATAGGGCGCTGGGGTTGTGTCTATTTGAGTTGATGAGTTGGGAGAAATATTTGTTTTTTTTCAGATTTGACAGTGTTCTGGTAATTTTTTAAACAGGTTTTGAGCAAAATGAAAGAAACCTGGAGTTGGTCCTTTTTCCACCATCAGCTCTCCTGCATAGGCGTCTCGCTGCCCTTGTGGTCTCATTCATCCATGGGTACTGGGCTCTCCTTGGTTTCCTGACTTTTAGTGGGGCCACCAGATCCAAGATCTTAGTGCAGGTCACATTGTGGTTACTAAGCAGCTCCTGAGCACCGACACAGGCAGAGGTTTCAGGTATTGTTACAACAGCGGTAATAAAGGCAGAGGAAAAACGAGCAGCGGTTGAAGGGTTAAATATACGACAGGTCCTGGGTGGAGCGGGAGATTTAGAGACACGAGCATTACAAATGAGATTGGTTTGTGATCAGACATGACAGCATCCCCAATTTCCAGATTTAACACAGAGACACCACAAGACAGAACAATATCAAGAGTGTGACCCTGATGGTGTGTGGGGCCGACAACATTTTGCACCAGGTTTAAAGAGTGGATCAGATTTAGAAAGTCCTGAACCAGTTTTCAGGCTTTTCAGGGCAACAGACGTGCACATTGAAGTCCCCTAGAATCAGCACACGGTCGTATTTTAACAGTATTGCAGTGAGAAAGACAGACAGTTCACTGATGAAGCCTGTGGAGGATTTGGGCGGTCGATAAAGCACCGCAATCAACATGGGGTTGGAGCGGCCCAGTTCAAAATGCAGCAGTTCAAAGGTCTGAAAAGATGGTGTCTGTAACAGTCTGCATTTCCAGATTTTCTTAAAAACAGCCAACACTCCTCCACCTCTTCCAGATGACCTCGGGCAATTAAGAAAACTACAATCAGCAGGCACCAGTTCAGAAAACACACTTGACTCACCCGGAGGAAGCCAAGTCTCCGTCAGAAACATGAAGTCCAGATTATTTGTGCAGAAAAAGTCGTTTATGATGAAGGTTTTGTTTGTTAAAGATCTCACATTGAGAGAGCAAACCTTGTTGGGTCAGCAGCTGAGGGAGAAGTTGAGCGGGGGGCGCAGATCAGCGGTTTCAGTTTGTTTACTTCGGGTCCTCGCCTCCTCCGGCCGGGGAAAGTGCAGCCGGGACGAACAGCCAGAATCCAGGAGCCGCCGGACACAGCAGGGTCATTGGTACGATCCGATGGGGCAGCAGATGGTGCAGCTGTTGGACCCGGGTTGGTTTCGGTTTGCTGGATACGGTTGGAAACACCGCAGCTGGGCGCGCGCTCGCTGCGCGCGCTCGCTGCGCACCTCTGACCCGATGTTCTGCAGCAGGCAGGACTCCGCGAGGCATCCAGGTGGAGAAACCTCAGTCCGGTGGACAGCTGTAGCTGAGGAACGAGCGAGGCTAGCTTTGAGCCTCACGAGGCGGCCAGCGCGTCTCCCACGGCAACGAGAGCGATGTTTTCGTGCAGGCACGAAATGCCGCGCGCTGGAGATACCCAGGTACGTTCCCAAGAAGCGGAGGTGGGGGCCCAGAACCCCGATCAAAATGTTCATAGGAGGCGAGATAAGTGGTGGAAAATTGTAGATTGAGCAGTTGCTGGCGATCAAACACCAGTAGTGAGTTGATCTTATTGAAGAAAAATGATAAAAATAGCAAAAAAAGAAACAGAGTGGACAGAGGTGAACGGCAAGCCAACAGCTCGGGCACCATCTTGGAATATCAATCAATTATCAGTGACCTTTCTCATACCTAGATGCAGCCACACAACAGAATGGAAGTTGGTACGTTGCTTATGTTTCAAGTTATCGAACTTGCAAGATTTACATTTATACAAATGTGGAGGTAGCCATCTTGAATTTTGACATGGCAACCCAATCTTTGAAAGAAGCTTTCTTATGCTTAGATGCAGCTACACACCAAATAGAAGCAGCTCATTTATTTTCAAGTTATGCTCACAACAACATACATGGACAGACAGGTGGAGGGTATTTCCAATTCCCCCTCTTTGCTCTGCGATGGGGGGCAGTTTAAAATGTTGCATGAGTGATGATAATGCGTCTGCTACATGAGCCTTTCAGACTGTCTACACCAGGGGTGGGCAATTATTTTTTCCATGGGGCCACATGAGAAACAACAAATATTGTGGAGGGCTGGCAGAAATGACTTTTTCATTCAACCTTTATTTAGACTGGTAAATCCCATTGAGCCTCAAGGACTCATTTACAAGAGAGACCTGATTTCAACTTAACTCAATACTGCATAATAATAGTATTTCATTATTAAAAGCAGTACATAGCACTGTTTTAACAAGCTGGTAAGAGTATTTGTTACGATTAAGCAACGAAAAAGCAAGGTTTCCTTACAAAAAATGTCATTTATTAAATTTCCCAGTACAATGGTAAACTGTTAACATTTTTACCATTTGTGACATTATATTAGTGATCATTTTCAGTCACATTCACCCCAAAACTCATTTTGAGTTTTATATACTGCTGGAAAAAGTTCTTAGCTTTGTAAATATATCACAATATTGTCTTTGTACTCCAAATATTATGAAACAACATATATTAGTGATCGTCACTGAACTGTGATTTCGAGTCCCGGTTCTTTATGTAGTGAACTAAGCCTCAGGTCAAATCCTGACCTTGAGGGCCTTCCTGGGACAAGAACTGTATTTCATTGATTTGAGTCCAGAAACACAAAATCAAGTCCATCCAGAGACTTTCTAAGTGTCCTGCACTGATCAATTGAAAGAACACTCTCTTTTTTATTATCATTACTATTTTACAAATGTCTTGATAATCAAAGTGTGTTTAGTTCAAACCATTTTAAATGTTGAAGTGAACTACTCATTTTAAATCAACTGTGAAACAGTATAAATGATTTTTAATCCTCATTCAAAGTAGAAATCAAGTTAAGGTCTGTTACAGAGTAATTATTCATTTTCTTGATCTTCTGTCTGAAATGAGCAAGTGTAAGTTGGTCAAAGGTCAAGTTTCGGTCAACTACATGTTTACTGGAAAGAAATGTCATGTTTAACTTTTTCAGACAGATATGAGAGAACTGACTCCACGAAGTCTCGGTTTCTTCAAAACATTCTTCTGCCTGTTCTTAAACAATCTAATCTTCACCTTGACTTTTAATAACCTCTTACATCACTAAGACCACACCTTGTTTGGTCGATCGGCCAATCAGGACTTCCCAAATGAACCGGAAACAGAACTCTTTAAATGTCGACACTTCCTAGTTCCAACCAGTGCGGTGGGAGAGCAGTTCAGTTCGGAGGGCAGAACCGAACAGAAAAGTGCTGGAGAGAACAGGAGGTTCCAGACATGATCCGAAGTTCTTCCGAGTCTCGTGGGAATTATGAAATCTTCCACATCTGAGTGGAACCTCTGACGGACTTACTCCTCTTGTGAGTCCACCCGTGAGGTGAACGTGTGTCAAACGAAGTTCCTTCACTACTTCGGACGATTTACAGCTGTTCCTACGGAGACGCTGGAAAGGTGGCGTTAAATGGAACTCAGTACCAGTGGAGACATCTTCTACAGGTAAAGAGTCGATTTCCACTACCTAAGTGTACCGAGGAAGCTGGGATCTAATGGAGAGTGCCGTTCTGATACAGACACCTATTCCCTCATCCATCCTTTCTCTCCATTTAAACTTCATTTCCCATCTTTAAAACTCTTCTATCTTGCCAGTAAATCATCCAGATATTTTCAGAAATGTCTGTTGGTTTAAAGTTGCAAGGGAAACCATGTGTAAGAGTTGAACTTGCTGCAGCCCCAAGATGGCCGCCAATCATCCACAGCTGACGACCATTCCACCTGACGAGCTCCTCCACTACATAAGGCTGCAGTCAAGCTCTTCTCGTCGCTGGAGCATTACTTCCTCTCTGGTAGTTGTGCCCCTAGCCAGTATTTTGAGTATATGAAAAGGATTTCTTACTGTGTATTCTTGTGTCTACAGTTTCCTGGTCACCTCGGATCCTGCTCTTGGTTCTTCCAGTGTCGGAGTCTCGCCTCTGTTACCTTTGCCCTCCAACCACTTGCCTGCCTTTGGATTTTCCCCAACAACCTCACCCCACAAGGAGTTGCCTGTAAGGAAAGACAAAACAATTTATTCCACCATTTGAGCTGCCTCCACTTGCCTCCTAGTCCTGACCCTGTCTCTCCCTTTTTCAGGAGTCCCAGGCCAACTTTTGTATATACTCGTTTTTTCATCCACTGTAAATAATAAACACTGTTTTGCTTACTTGAGGCTCTTGTCGTTCTGGTTCTCGTTCCCACTGGGTAGTCCGTATCATAACACCATGGCCGTATGGTTTCCTAATTGTAAAGCTTGCTAACTAAGCTATGTTGTTGTTGAAATCAATTTTGCCAAATTAATGTAAATGTTTGATGTTAAACTTTGATTCTGTTAATAAATGACCGCATTCATTTTTGATGGGTCAAAGAAAATTAACGTCTCACGTCACATTTAATCATTCAATGCACGAAAGAACTCAGTCCAGAAAAATGAAAGAATCCGTTTAATTTATGGATAATATCTCACAGATATATGTTCCTTTACATTTACGTGCCTACATTTGTAGTCTAAACATCTCATTTGGTGTTTATCAGTTCTTTTTTCTTGTTTAGTGAGAGAAGTCTAGTCTCTGTTGGGCTTTAACGGAAATGTTAAAGTCAGGTTGAAGGTCTGAGGTGGAGATGTGAAGCAAAGCTGACATCATCAGTGAGAGAGGATCTATATCTGGATTTGGTTAACTTCATTTGTTTACATATGTATTTTGTAATTCCCCTTACGGGGGCCGGTGAGAGTCAACCAAAGGGCCGCATGTGGCCCTGGGGCCGTACAACGCCCAGGTCTGGTCTACACTCATGGGAGAGGAGGGGGTGGGGGTTTAGCCGTCTAAGCTGGCAGGGCTCAGACTTACCGGAGCGTCCAACACTATGAGCTGCAGCCAGGAGTGAAGCAGAAACATGCAACGTTAGGAGACCCTCGTCCCCCTGCTCAACATGCTGCAGGTCTGTTAGAACACGTTAACTTTGCTGCGTCTCATCATCAGAAACGAATGATCCTCCGACAGTCAGAATCAGACCGTCACCTGCACACGTTCAACTTCACTGAACACTACAAGAGTTCCAGCTTAGAAACTCACGATCATGCCGTGGAGTGGCAGCTGTCCGTGCACTTTGAACTGATTGGTGGCTGTGACGCCTTTGCTTGTGTAGAGGAGCATGTCTGAGAACTGAAAAGACAGATAAAGTTTAAAATCAGGACAAACAGTAAAATGTTTGGTCACTTGAAGCTGCAGTAACGTTGCACCAACCAGGAAGAACATTCTCTGCTGCAGCCCCTTCTTGGTGAGCTTGTACAGACAGCCCTCTCGGATGAAATCCTAAAATCAGAGAGCCAGCGGGTGATATCCTGCCATCCTGCGCCCCCTACCCTCCGCTTGGTGTCGGCACACTCACCCGGCCTGGAGCCGTTAGGTTCTCGATCCCGATCAGGTCTCTCTGCAGCTCCGTGAGCTTCTGGAAGTTCTCCAGCCGGATGAGGCTGCTCTGAAGCTGCGTGGCCATCTCCGCCACTTCCTGTAGAGCCTCTGGCAGGTTTCAAATAAAATCAAACGTTACATCACTCACCTCCTGCCATCAGGCAACAACAGAGAGGAGCAATTTGTCTCTGGTGGTGCATCAGCAGCAGTTTATGCCTCGCGTCTGTTGAAAGGATTATAATTTGAAGCGACGCCACAAACAACCACTCCTCTGACTGAACCACGTCTCGTGAAAGCTCTCAGACCAGCGCAGTCAATTCAGCAGAAGGGCTGTAGTTAAACATAATTAGTGCTTGCACTGGGACGTTTCCACCTTTCCCAGATGCGTGGGAACATTCAAATGCCGACGCTTTGTTTCTTTTTTACTTACGTGAGATTTTCAGATAAGATAAAAAATAAATGTCATCATTTATAAATAAATATAAATGCTTTTTTTAGTACATATTAAAAAAATCTAAATACTAAAACTTATTTTTCTTTTTTGTGTTTATACCCATGGTATATAAAATGTGTCCACAAACTCAACATTCATTAAAAGCCAGTCATAGAAAAATAAAATAAAATAAAGTCCACCTTCTTAATTTGAGTTTATGCATCAGGATGGAACAAAAAATGAAAACAGAATGTACCACATCATTGTTTTTTAAGATAAACTGATTAATCATCATGAGCCTCTACAAAAGTAGTTGTGCAGTCAGTTTCTTGCTCTGGCATGTACACTATCAACACAATGCCGAGGCGGAAAGCAGTGACGTTTGAGACGCGACTGTCTTTAAAGAGTTTTAAAGTTATTTCTAAACATTTTGAAGTCCATCGATCTACGATGACAAAGATAGTTCACAAGTGGAAGCATTTAAAACAGCCGTCAACCGTCCTGGGTGTGGACCCCTCAGCTAATTCATCCTGAGGCCACGCATATTAGTAGTAGTTTATTTTTATTATATATATATACACACACACCGGTATATTTTTTTAGGAGTTTTAAACCCTTCCCACACTCTTGCAATATTGTAAACAATGTTTCTAAACTCTAAACGCTCTAAAAGAGCACAGAATGTCATGATTTCAGCTCCCTGCCTCCTCTGCTCTTTGCCACCTGCAAGCGCTCTTGGCCACGCCCACTTCTTCGCTCTGCACAGCTGATCAGCTGCAGCAGGAAGTTTATCCTGCAGTATGTGCAGGAGGAAGCTTTTTTTACCGTTCTGGACTGCACAAATGTGCAGCAGGTGCTAAATAATTTAAAATTTATTTTAAATAAAAAAATTAATGTCGATCGTGCAGCTCATCCATCAGTCAGCCAGTTGTGCGTCATGTCCAATCTTATTTTGAAAAACCGTGATGGAGCGAGTCCGCGATAAACAAACCTCAAAGTAGTGAGGGACTACTGTAATCAGAAATCTACAGCAACAACAAAAAATATACTCAGTTCACCATCATCCATCAACTTACAAGACCTGTGTTGGTATCAATAACTCTCAAAGGTTGTTTCTCACGTGGTTGTAAAGGATTCTGGCCCATTCTTCTTTCTAACATTGCTTCAGTTTGAGGTTTGTAGATGTTTGTTTCTGCTCTCTGAAGGTCCCACCTCAGCACTTCAGTCAGGTTGAGGCCTGGACTGTGACTGGACCACAGCAGCACTTTGATTTTGTAAACCTGATGCCTGCAGCGTCTGAAATGGAGCTCTTAGTTGTTGTTGTTGTTTGTCCTCATATTTCTGAGCGTTACACAACTGTTCCCACAAAGTTGGGAGCATGGAATTGTCCAAAATGTCTTTGTATGCTGAAGCAGTCAGAGTTCCTTTCACTGGAACTAAGGGGCCAAGCCCAGCTCCTGAAAAACAACCCCACACCATAATCCCCCCTCCACCAAACTTTACACTCGGCACAACGCAGTCAGACAAGTACCGTTCTCCTGGCAACCAGCCAAACCCAGACTCGTCCATCAGATTGCCAGATGGAGAAGCACGATTCGTCACTCCAGAGAATGCGCCTCCACTGCTCTAGAGTCCAGTGGCGGCGTGCTTTACACCACTGCATCCAACACTTTGCATTGCACTTGGTGATGTATGGCTTGGATGCAGCTGCTCGACCATGGAAACCCAATCCATGAAGCTCTCTGTGCACTGCTCTTGAGCTAATCTGAAGGCCACATGAAGTTTGGAGGTCTGTAGTGACCGACTCTGCAGAAAGTTGGCGACCTCTTCACACTATTCTTGGGCGGCTGTGGCTGAGTGGTTAGAGCAGTCGTCCTCCAATGCAAGAGTTGGGGGTTCGAACCCCACAGCAGTCACATGCCGAAGTGTCCCTGGGCAAGACACTGAACCCCTTGTTGCCTCCGATGTGTGTGCCATCAGTGTATGAATGTGATAAATCACTGATGAGTCTCTTTAGAATGATTTGTTCAATTAGCTTTGTATAGATCTAGTAGAGTGCTGTATGAACGGGTAAATGAGGACACAGATTGTAGTGTAAAGAGCTTTGAGTGTCTCAATAAGATAGAAAGGCGCTACATAAGTACAGTCCATTTACCATTTACTATGAGCTTCAGCATCCGCTGACCACGCTCCGTCAATTTACGTGGCCTACAACTTTGTGGCTGAGTTGCTGTCGTTCCCAAACACTTCCACTTTCTTATAACACAGCTGACAGTTGACTGTGGAATATTTAGGAGCGAGTAAATTTCACGACTGGATTTGTTGCATAGGTGGCATCCTATCAGTTCTACGCTGGAATTCACTGAGCTCCAGAGAGCGACCATTCTTTCATAAATGTTTGTAAAAACAGTCTGCATGCCTAGGTGCTTCATTTTATACACCTGTGGCCATGGAAGTGTTTGGAACACCTGCTTCTGATCATTTGGATGGGTGAGCAAATACTTTTGGCAATGTAGTGTAGTATATATATATATATATATATATATATATATATATATGGAGAGAGAGAGATAGAGAGAGATTGATTGATCATTTTAATTATCTGTATTCTTTTTAATTTACCAGAAACTTCAAAATAAATTCTTACCCTGTACTGATACCTGTTTCAGGGTCTTACCACCACCAGCTGGTAACCCGCATGACATCAATTTGAACATGCCCACTAGAACCATTACTGAAGGTATAATGGAAACATAACTGGACGGTGTTGTGCCGAGTCGAACTGTGCTGTACTGGTGCTAAAGGTACTAATGGAAAAGGAGCCTTTGTTGTGGTGGTAGCCCAGAGATGTCCCTACCACACTGATTGGCAGAAATGACTCCCACAATCAATAATCTCATGACATAAGAACTTGCATATTGATATTAAGATTCGGTATAAATGGTTGTATCTCCTTTCTCCTTCAGATGATCTTAGTTTAAAACATTGGCATTAAATACAATGTAGGCAAGTCTTTCAATAAAGCACAACACAACAACATCTCTTGTGTGTCTTTGTGCCTATTTTTGAACCTGGTGCAAACAAGATAATTTTTATCTGTCCTGATGCGTAAAACCCTAGAACTGAAAAAAGGTACTTTCTTTTTCCAGCGGCTGTTCTGCTTTAGTCCCTTCTAAAACTAGACACTATAATCCTTGAAGTTCAAATAAACAAAGCAGGTCATTGAGAGAGGCTGATACTACAAACATGCTAAGGCATGGAAACGCTCACCCTTGCAGTCGTTGTAATCCCTGTGAGCAGGGGAGTAATGCTTGCAGAGTCTCTCCAGGATGAGCTTGTAGTGCATGAGGCGCTGGATGGGTTTGAGCAGGAACGTGTTGAGAGGCAGGTAGCACACCTTCTGCAGTTCAAACTCTTTGTAGACCGTCTCCAGCTTCTTCAGCCTCTTAGAGGCCTTTTCCAGCTCTGTTAGGACCTCATCGTGTTTCTGCAGGTAGCTGGTAAATTCCTGCAAGATGAACAAATGTCAAACTTTGTTGGCTTTGCTGTGTCAAAGGACAAATGCTTGTTGCTCAACATGTGAACAACAGCAGACACTTCAGGAGCTTCTACTGCAGGTTTACCTTAAGAGCACACATGTTTTTCAGCATCACGTCACCGATCCTCTGGTAATCGCCTTTAATGTGTGCATTCGAGCGTCCCTCCCTATGAAAACAAACAGATTTGTCCCGTTCTCATCAGCAAGGAGTTTTATGGATCACAGGAAGAGAAATGCTGGGGAGACCCTACCAGAGAGCCAGCCTCTGGTCCAGCTCCTTCAGGAAGCCTCGGTGGAACTCGTAAATGGGGTCGATGTTGGAGAAGAGGAGGGTCATCAGACCCTCGGGCATGGCGTTTTCTTTGATCACAGCACTACGGAACCACTGAGGAAGACAAATGACTCTGTAGTATGTCAGCACAGCTTTGCTGGGGACACACTACTAATTAATTATTCTTAAAGCTAGTTCAAGCACAAAGAATATTAATTGTTTAATTACAACAGATTCTTTTCTTTTTTGAGTTAAATTTCTGCCATGTGACCGAGATAACTGAGTGGATTGTTTAATCAGTGACATGAGACGCCATTTTATCTTTGACCCATCAGAATAAATGCGGTCATTTATTTAACAGAATCAAAATTTAACATCAAAACATGTACACATTGATTTGCTGATCTGTTTCTGATTAATAAACTTGGCAAGCTTTACTAACAAGACAACAGAACATTACTGATTGAGGCTGATTCACCTCTGAAGGCATCTGGATTACTGGTGAATAGAAAAGTTAAAGAGGAGAAATAGAAGTTTAAAGATTTAAAGAGGGATGAAAGCTATGTGTGGAACCAGAACTTTGCACCCTTCCTCCGACATCCCGCTCAGCTTTCCGGTACACTTCAGGACATGCAGCGACTTTGTTACCTTAGATGGGGGATACCTCCACTCCGGAACAGAAGTCCATTAGTACGCTCCCTTTGCAGCGTCTCCGGTTAAAGTAGCTGGGAATCTTTAGAATAAATGCCGAAGTACTCGGTTCCACCGAATAAGCTTCCTTAGAAGTGGAGCATTAACTGCTCGGGTTGAGTGCACAGCGATGCGAGCTGTGACTCCGCTAAATGGACGGACCCCTTGGCACATGGTCCCATCCATCCGCTGCTTAAGTGAGTCTCATCTCTGACCGAAAGTTCCAGCAAGACTTAGAAGAGACTAAGACTCGTGAAGACTGAACTCCAGGACCGCACTTCAGGACTGAACTGAGTTCCAGGACCGAACTGAATAGTTCCACGAAGTGTTCCTTTTAAAGGGGTATACACTTCCTGTTACGTGGTACTTCCTGATTGGTTGAAACAACCAGCAGGGGGGTGGTTCTAGTGATGTCAAGAGGGTCACTAGAAGTCAAGAGACAGCAGGAATGTTTTTAAAAAACGGTTAGTACAGACGGAGAAATGTTATGACGAGGTGAGACAGAGCAGGTGCCAGTTGAAGTTATTTACTGTTTGCTAGTTTTAAAAACAAGACACTTCGTTCTAATAACTCGTCTCTGTTTGTCTCTGACTTTTGACCGACACCACTACTCCTCATTCAGACAGAAGACTAAATGCACACTTACTTCGTAAATAGGCATTTAACTGTATTATCAAAGTATAATGAGGTTTAAAAATCATTAATACTGTTTCACAGTTGATTTAAATGAGTGGTTCACTTCAACATTTAGAAATGATATGAACTAAACACACTTTTTGATTATCAAGATATTGTAAAATAGTAATGACAATAAAAAAAGAAGAGTGTTCTTTCAATTGATTAATTCAGGATACAATTAAATAGTCTCTTGATGAGAATTTGTATTTCTGGATTCAGATCAATGAAATAACAGTTCCTGTCCCCTGAAGGTCCTCAGAGACAGGTTGAGGTCGGAGGTCTAGTTCACTACAACTCATTCACAGGAAGCATCGGAGAACTGATCGTTCAGTCCAACAGCAGCAGGGAAACAACTAAAGGCAATTTACATAAGTATTTAAACTTCACGCAACTAAAATTTAAGACTCCTCCAAAGGAACAACTCACTAGATGACTACTTTGAACAGAACATACAGTTGTGTTTCGACACTAACTCATGATGTGCATTTTAAAGTTCAATATGGGGCCGAGATGGGGTAGAGGCAGGGCAGTCGACTCGGGACCCGAAAGTCCCAGGTTCGATCCCCAGTCATTGCACATCTCGTGGTGTCTCTGAACAGGACACCCCATCCCCAATTGCTCCCAGGGGGCTTTCAATAGCTGCCCACTGCTCCACCTGGTGGTGGATGGGTTAAATGCAGAGCCAATTCCGCCATAGTATGGGAACATACAATGATGACACCGCATACACATTTATTTTTATTTATGTATCGATGGCAACAGCAACATTTTTAAACATCCAACAAAGTTCAGTAAGGTCATCTGGCCGGTTTCTTTTTTGTTGAGACGCTTCATCCTTCATCTAAAGGACTTCATCAGTCTGAGGAGCCAAGGGATGGGACAACAAAAAAGCACCAGCAAACTGGTTGGTCCACAATGTGAGTGTGCTGCTGGTGGGACTGAGTTTGTTTGTGGATCCTTGGATTGACGAAGACCTTTGGATGAAGGACGAAATGTCTCAACAATAAAGAAACCGTCCAGATGACCTGACTGAACTTTGTTGGATTTTTTTACCTGGATTATTGAGCATGAACTTTGATATTTTTAAACACGTTTAGTTTTGCAAAAAGTTCTGAAGCTTTGCTTTGTTTAAATAACAGTAAGGCGCTCATGCCCAGATTAGATTATTTTATATAAATTATTGGTCAGTTTATAGTTCTAATTCTGAGCCTAATGTTGGTTTTTAAGTTTTAAGTGATAAAAGCTAAAAAGTATGCACAGAAAGTGGATCAAACCACTAAATAAAGTGAAGTTCACAACTACGACCCAGTTTACGAGATGCATTTGTTCAGCCGATTGTGTGCACGATAACAGCACTCGTTCTCTCTGAAACCAAAGGCTTCTGAATCCTGGTCTCAAGAGTGGAGACTTTGGGGATGTGAGGTGTGAAATTGCACATGCACACTCCAGGCTGCTGCCTTCAAAAGTTTTTTCCAGCACTACCAACAGCTCCAATAAACAGTTCCAGTGTTTTTTGTGCTCCACGGCCTTTTCAGCACATAGGAGCAAACCAACAACAACCTAGGTACAAAGGAACGTTCATATATTCACCAGTTTACAAGCAACTGTGACCAGGCAGACACTGCATGCACAAATCATGCAGCTGAGCTCGGCATCAGGGTTGCCAGATAAATATAAAATGTTTTTTTACCCCCTCTTTATAGTGTACACATTCACTTAAAACACACCTCGTCTTACAACAACACCCTCAGTCAGCACATGACAGCTTGGGTCAAAATACAATCATTTTAAAGTAACTGTACAATAATTTATTATTTCTTATCTGGCAACCCTGCCTGAGATGGAAACTACAGTAAATGCATGTAGCGGTAAATATATATATTTTTGTTGTTATTGTTGTTTATTCACTAGAATTACCACAGGATAAACAACGTCTCCAGAGAACATTCAAGTGATAATGGGCCCTAATTCAACATTATTATGAAAAAATTAATCGACTTCTCTGTTGAGTGGATTCTGAGTCGTTTAGTAGCTAACTAGCTAACATATTCACAAACTCAGTCTGTCGAGGTCTTCCATATTTGTTTTTCATCTTTAGCAGTTTTGTCAATTAATCAATTATAGATTGAATTGTTCTTGTGGACAATTTCCTATCAAGACTTTGCGCTCTCCTTTAAACTTACCACAGTGATGACCTCGAGGTCTTTCAGGTAGGTTCGCTCTGTGGTCAGAATCTCTTTGGCAATAAAGTAGGCCTTGTCAGTGGGATAACGCTGAGGGGAGAAAGAAACGTTTATTCAAAGCAAACATCAAGAAGCAAAACACAAATTATTCTAACTCCACTAAACAAAAATGCTCCATGCTACAAAAGAAAAAGTTATTTTTGTGTGCGCTACAAATTGTGTTTGTGAGGCGGGGGGTGGCTGGAAGGGTTGGCATGCAAGCAGTGTACCTTCCTCCTGCCCTCCTCCTCCTCCTCTAGCCTGGCAGTGCTGCCCACCTCGCTCAGGATGGGGCTCTGCAGAGGAGACGGGGCCTGGCTGGGCAGGCTGAGGGTGGACATCTGGAAGGAGGGCGACACGCAGAGGGAACCCTTGGAGGTGAGGGGTGAGAGCTGAGGAGCGTCCACTACTGAATCTACAAACGACAGAAAGGTTTCATTAGAACAGGACCGTGCTCTCAGGTTCAAAGTGGAAAGCTCTCCACAAACATGAACTTTAACCTGCTCCTTTTATTTCACAAGCATCTTCTTTCTCTTTCAAAATAAAACTACTGAACCTTTCCAGCAGGTGGGCCACTTAATGACACGCTGCACACCCCACCACACTGACTAATGACTCAACACTTTTTAACTAGAATTCCTCCACAAGAAGAAATGATTAAATGTAAGAAGGTGAGAACCAGTTCTGCTGCTTCTGTCCTGCCACAACATGAGACAAAAGGAAACTAAAGCTGTTGTTTCTGAGTCATGGATCACTACAGCTGCTCTTCCACTTCTCAGAGAAAAAAAAGAGGAGTGGAAAAAAAAAACTTGCTTCTCGACCCGGAAATAATTGCGAACACAAAAAGTCATGAGGAATGTGGCTCGTCTGGAGGGCAAATATGTGTGGAGCTGATCTGAAGTGGCCCATGGGCAGCGGGGGGGCAGACTCCTCTGCAGGAGGGGACGGGGGTTTGTTGTGGAATGACTTGGCACAAGGCCTGTCCAAACAGGAAGTGCACGTGCACACGCACGCACACACACACTTAACTGATTAGGCTGAGGAATCTGATGCACAAACTCAACCCAGCCCCCGACGGCGTGAGTGTGCTGCACCAAACCAAAGCTTGGCTTGAATTATCTTTTTTTTTTTTTTTTGGGGGGGGGGGGTGTTGATGTCATCAGCGTTTGCACGACTAACCTCAAGATCAGATACAAGTGGAGAGTTGTTTCTGAGGGATTCTTCCAGCAGATTTTCATTTTGAATCTTTTTAAACGGCCTCGTCTTTTCTCCATGAGCTGCTCCACGACTCAGATCATTTCACGACTAAATAAACCACAGGGACGTTTCCCTCCAAGCATTACAATAAAATCCAATCACTACTGATTTACGGCTGGACCTTAAAAAAAAAGTTTAAGTCCGACATCCATGGTTCCCAGATGTGATTCCTTTATTCTTGAGAATAAAACATACAAACATTAAGTACACTTTTAGTATATATATACACATGTTCAGGATTAAGTGATGAATACTTGGTGTCTAAGTGCAGTTAGATATTAAATCTTAAGTTCTGACGTGGGAAATTCAGTAAGAAGAAAAGTTGCTAAGACAAACGCTTGGCACCGGCCCAGTCCACACATTTACAGATCTGAATTCAAACGAAGCTTCAAACCCACGGCAGAAACACAGAAAAATCCATTTCTGGTGCGCTTTGGTTGCCTGTCATCCTGAAAAATGACAATGAGAACACATGAGCACCCGACCAGGATATTCTGTTCTAGATGGCCACCCTCCCTTGATTTCTCTGCAGCTATTTGGTGGAAACAACCCAAGAGGAACGAAAGAGCACCTGCAGCAGGAGCACACTGCGTGAAGGGACAGTGCATGCTGTGAAATGGTAAGATTGTACCCAGACATACATTAAAAAATGGTAAATCTGAAGCCTTGGAAGTTCTGAAAAAGTATGAGGCACGAAATGTGTATGTTGATGCACCAGGCTGATTTTATACCTGCGCTTCAAATCATGCACATAAGCTAAAAAAACTATGACTAATGTGCAAAAGACCTGAAACATGGCAGAGCACTATTACAAGAACTTTAAAGTTTTCTGCAAGTTTCAACTTTAAAGTACTATTAGCTTTTTTTTAACATTTTACATTTGAAATGAATAAGCTGTAGTGTATTATGTGCTGTAACACATTCTTATCTAAGTATAGCATAAAAATGGAGCGATACATTCACTTAGTATGATGCGATTACCTGATGGCTCAATACTACACTGTTTACATTCGTTTTATATCTAAACATGACGCATGGATGTTAAAATAAAATAAAAAAATCAGATTATGAACCTAACATGCTGCTGGTGAAGCGTGTGAGGACTTTTCCAACCAGCAGGTGTCAGTGAGGCACAGAGGAGAAAATGACGCCTCCTCCTGGTTCTACAGGAGACCCTGAAGCTGGACACCTACTGGTTTCAGTTTTACCCTGAGACCACTGATGAGCGTTCAGATGTAAACTACAGAGCACAAGAAGTGCTGCATGACAAAAGCAATAAAGGAAAACATAATTACATGTAATAATAAAATCAGTTATCCACCAGTTAGGTATTTTAGTGGAGATATTTTTAGGCAGCACAACGCCTAAGTGGTTAGAAGGTCCTGGGTCCTGGGACTGGGGGGGTCTTTCTGGGTGGAGTTTGTCTGTTCTCCTCGTGGGTTTCCTCCCACAGACCAAAAACATGCACGTTACACGGCCTTCAGGTCCCAGGCCTCTGAATAGGATTTATCTGGTTAAATTAAGGTTCATAACTTTAGGACAAAAGTATTGTTGTCAATAATAATCATCATAAAACATTACTTACAAGTTTCCTTTACTACATGGAGGTTTATATGAAACTATAATGCCAAATATTAATTATCATAAATGATGGATAGAGAAGTCCCTTTTAAAGAGCGTTTTAACTTTAACAATAAACATGTAAATACTGTAAGACACTGGCACATTGTTGGTTTTAAAAAATGCTTAATATACGTATAAAATATATAAAACTTTCCATTTGATTTGTCTGATATGCTCCATAAATATTCTGAAATCCATTTTTGCACCAGCCTGTGCTGTAGATAAGAAAACAAACTGACAGATGAGGCACTGAAGAATGCCACAAAAATAAACTCTAAATAAACAGCGCTGCCTGCTCACGAACACAAACGCAAACGGCTGAACACCAGTGTCTCACGTAACCTTTGCATTTTTATTTTAAATCCTAAAAGCTTTTTTTTTTTTTCTAACTGAGCGTCCTCAGTTTAAGGCTTTAAGTGATGTCTGGATGTTGTGTTTTAATGTGTGGGGGTCCCTGAGGGGTCTGCCAGCGCCTGCAAGTTGTGACACTGCAGCAGAAAACCCTCCAGTCCACTGCTTCCTGTCAGCGGGTTTCTATAAAACAGGTCCTGCCCCAGAGGAAGGATGCTGTCAGAGCCCCAGTCAGAGTCTGAATCCGAGCTACCGTTATCGGAGCCCTCAGTGGCCGTGGGGGGGTAGCTCAGCTGCTCGAGCTGCTCCACCAGGTCGCTGAACTGCACGGCGGAGCTGCTCTCAGAGCGCACAGAGCATGCTGGGAAGTTGACCATCGAGCTGGCCTCTGATTGGATGTCCGACCCCGGCAGGCGGAGTGAGGACGCGTCGGGGCCTCCGTAGCCCACTGACATGGACTCCCCCGCAGAACTGAGCCCCAGATTATCCAAGGAGCTGCACTCGGAGCGGTTATTAAGCAGGGAGCTCGTCTCCGAGTGACCGGCCACGCTGTAAGGGAAGGCGTTGGGGTTTCCATTCAGGTCCTCAATCCCAACACTAAACGTCCCGTTTTTACTGTCAGCTCCCTCCACAAAACCAAACGGATCTATTTTATTGTCATGTCTAAATGAGTAGGCCTCTGCCCCCCCACCATAAAAGGAAATCTCAGTGGGATCATCGTCAATGAACTCCTCTGAAACCTGCAGTGAGGTGGACATGGAGAACATGGGGTTTTGTTTTGTGCGCAGAAGCTCTGCCTCGAACGCCTCTGGTGTGAGCACCCGTTTTCTTTTGCTTCCACCCCCTCCCACTGAGCACCCAGTGCCCCTCCTCCCACCATGCTCATTATCCTCATTGCCATTTGTAAAGGACTGGGACGTGCCACCGTCTACACAAACAAACACGGGGCTGCAGTGTCCTGCGGCCTCACTGCTAGAAGCACCTTGAAACGAGAAGTGCGACGTGGAAGCAGCCTTAACGGGATCTTCCTTCGGAGGGCTGGGGGGTCTAGTGGTTTGCAGAGGGGGCTGCTGTTGCTGCTGAGGAGGTGCTGGAGATTGGCTCAGTGGGGACAAAGGTTGGGGTTGAGGTGGAAGTTCAGTCCGAGGAAGAATCTTTGACATGTGGACTGGCTGGAAGGATTCAGCGATGGAGGACGAGAAGCTCAGGTCCCGGGGACAATCACTGAATATCAAGCTCTGAAAGGGGGGAGTGGGGTGGGAACAATAACATTTAAACAGAGGGGAAAAGAGCATAAATTCTGGTACAATTTGAGAAAAGCTTTTGCTTTACATTAAGAAAAAAAGACATTTATGTATTCACCTGTTTTGGCAGATCGGTTGTGAAGGAGCGAGCAGACATTCTGACTTTACTGTTCCTCCTGAACAAAAACAAACCATGTTAAAATAATTAATGACTTTTACAGAAATCACATGATTTGTCACATTTCCAGTGTACACACACACTAAACACACACCTCTGGTAAGGCGTCCTCTTTGCTCCATTTTCTCTGACATATTCAACAAGCTGCTTCTGCGTCCGTCCACTGACAGAGAACATTAAATTATGAACCTTTGTTGCAAATGATTTTCCCATTTAATGGTAAAAAAAAAATACTTAAAAAACATAAGTGAAGACAAATCTCATTGATTGTGACGTGAGGTCATACCTGTATCTGAAGGAGGAGCCTCGAGTAAAAAGGATTGCTTTGGATTTGGGCTGAGGCTGATCAAACAAGCGGAAAAACGAGTGGTATTCAACACAGATCTTCCAGAAGTTTTTACACTCGTCTCGACTAGCCATCATGAATTCAAGGATGTCTTGATAGGGCCCCTGAAATGAAGATGAAGAAGAAAATGTAGAATCATACACAGGAACCAGGTGTTTACAGTCAAGCAGTGTTGTAGTTAAGACCACCTAATCTAAAACCAAGTCAAGACCAAGACCAGAGTGTACCAAGTGGGTGGGCATCACAGGGTCAGCCCTCAATTGGTTCAGATCTTACCTCACTGACAGATCCTTTTGTGTCTCCGTCAAGGAGTTTAGTTCTGCAGCGGCAGAGCTTAAATGGAGGGTTCTGCAGGGGTCCATCCTGGGTCCCCTCCTATTCTCTTTATACCTGCTGCCGCTTGGCGCTATTTTCCGGAAACACAACATGCCCTTCCACTTCTACGCCGATGACTGTCCAATTTACTTCCCACTAAGACACAATGGTACATACTCTATTCAACCGCTGCTCAACTGCCTGGCTGACATCAGGGACTGGATGGCTTTAAATTTCTTAAGTTTCAATGAAAAGTAGTATGAAGTCATGTTGTTCCCTCCCAATGACACAATCACAAACCACTGTATCGACCTCTCTGCTCTGCCCCTGTCAGAAAAACAAAGAGTCACTAATCTGGGAGTGATAATGGACCCTTCCCTGAAACTTAACAGTCACGTAAACATGATTGTTAAATCAGGTTTCTTCCAACTGAGGCGGCTGTCTAAACTGAAGCCCATATCGTCCAAAAACAACCTGGAGACAGTAATACACGCATTCATTACATCTAGGCTTGATTACTGCAATTCGCACCTGTTCGGCATCAGTCAGACCTCCATTGCACGACTACAACTGGTACAGAATGCAGCAGTCCGATTTTTAACCAGTACAGGCAAAAGAGCGCACATTACACCAGTTTTGGCATCACTGCACTGGGTACCGGTTCACCTTCGAATCCAGTTCGAAATACTCCTGAATGTCTACAAATCGCTGAACAGTCCCCCCCCCCGATCTGCTACAACCGTATGCCCCACCACGTTCCCTGTGGTCAGCGGACTAGTTGCTCCTCACAGTTCTAGGAACTCGGCTTAAGCGCAGAGGGGACAGGGACTTCTCTGTAGCAGGACCAAGACTTTGGAACGAGTTACCTCTGCTTGTCAGACAGGCCCCCTCCCTCTCGGTTTTTAAGATCCGTTTAAAAACTCACTACAATTCAGTAGCTTTTAAGACCAGAGGATCTGTGTTTTGATCATGTATGCTCCACAGTGGTTAGTCGTCATTATCTGCATCGTTTTTATGTCTATATTTCTGATTTACTTCATTTTGAATATTGCTTTGTGCGTTACCTGTTGTTCTGTCTGTACAGCACTTTGGTTGGCCTTGTCGTTGGTTTAAGTGCTCTATAAAAAAATGGTATATATATGTAACCCCGTGGTTTTTGTTCATGTTGGTTGTAATTATTAGAGAACTCAAAAATAAGAACATGGAGTTTAATATATTTTCAGTTTGTGTTTATGGAATATGCAAACCTATTGTGTTTGGAGTTTAATATATGTTCAGTTATTGTTTGAAAAAACCCCCCAAAAAAACAATGTAACTGTAATATGTGGTTGCTTGGGATTTTATTTTGGTGGTCGGGGAAGGAGGGCTTCCGGTACGAGAGGGGACGTGACGAGAGGACGGCGAAGATGGAGGACATCACTGTTGCTTTTAACTGTCACTGCTGCCGTGGACTATCGCGGTGGGGGAACACCCCACTGAACTGCTGTTCTTGCCAGTGAGGGGGTAGACAAGGACTACCATCGACCTGTGGAGGTTGAAGCTGCGTGGGTGACTAACCCCGTGGAGAAAAATCCCGTTAGGTCGCTAGCTTTGTGGCTAGCGCTAGCGGGCTTCGGCGAACGGTTGGTGGCTAGCCAGCCGTGAGAGACGCGTGGACCTCAGAGAACGGTTGGCGGATAGCCAGCTGTGTGTAACGCGAGGACCTGGGCGTGGATTCTTCAACCTTGGGGAGGACATTGGACGGAAGCAGACGGACTACGGCACGTACGACCTCCTGGAGAGGGACGTATTCAGGTGATGGGGGATATGGTTGTTGGGGACGTTAATGGGAAGAGCGGGAAGCGCGCGAGTGCACCAACATCAGGCCTGCGACGACCGAGACTAAATTTTAGCTGCCGGCTTTAAGTTTCCTTTCTGTTTAACGAGGTTAATCGAACCATTTCTATTTCATTACAGAATGAAGAAACTGTGATATTGTTCATTAAACTGTTTATTTGTTTAAAACGTATGCTTATTCTACTGTGTTATACTTCATGGTATAAGGGGTGTAGATGAACAGATGCTCAGATATATTCATCATTTAACACGGATTCCTCATTTTTCTGGACTGAATAAAACGTGCATTGAATTTAAGGAAATGCAAACGTGAGACGTCATTTATATTTGACCCATCAAAATGAATGCGGTCATTTATTTACAGAATCAAAGTTTAACATCAAACATTTACATTAATTTGGCAAATTATGAAAATAACAACATAAGCAATCAATCAAGAAAAATCATACGGCCATGATTTTTCCGTTGCTTCACCACAGACATTTATGAAACTGTACAATTATGATCTTTTACCCACATGGATGTGGGTGAGCATTTTACACAGACATTTCTAAAATATCTGGAAGAATTTCTACTTGAGAGAAAAGTTTAGAGATGAAAGAAGTTTAGAGGGAATAAAAGATGGGGTTTGAGGGGAAGTAAGTGTTTACCAGAACGGCACTCTCCATCAGAAACCCAGCTCGCCTCGGTACGCTTGGTAGGAAACTTGACCCATTACCTTTCTGATGATAATCAGCAGATATGGTGTTCCGTTAACGCTACCTGTCCAGCGTCTCCTTAGTATGGCTGTAGCTCGTCAGAAGTAGTGGCGAGTGAAAGGTGTTATACTCCCATGGAACTCGGAAGAGCTCTGTTGTCAGGATCATCCCGTCTCTCACAGAACTGGTTGGACTGTGTATCCAGCAGAACTCCAACAGAACTCCATCAGCACTCCAACAGAACCAAGACTGAGTAGACCAGGAAGTACTGACATTTTAAAAAGCTGTTTCCCGGTTCACTTTTGGGATTTGTTCATTGGTCAGAAACGACCAGACGGGGTGTGTTTTGTGACGTAAGAGGTTAGAGACAGCGAGAATTGTTATGAAACAGATCAGAAATGTTCTCACAGACAGAGAGAGTTTTGTTTTGGCGCGTTTCAGAAACAGGTGCCAAAACTTCTCTATTTACGTCTGAGAGGATTCTAAAAACATGACAGTTCGTTCAACAACTTGTTTTTCGTTTGACTCCAACCTTGGAAACGCACACTTGCTCACTCAAAGGCAGAAATCAGAAAATGCATAATTATTCTGTAACAGCTTTGACATGAGAATAAAAATCATTACTCAGTTAATAAAATTGATTAGTGCACTGCAACATCTAAAATGGTTTGAACTCAGACACTTTGATTATCAACATTTGTAAAATAGTAATGATAATAAAAAGAGAGTGTTCTTTTCACTTGAATCTTCAAGAAAGAAAGTCTCAGGATGGGTGAACCTGTATTTCTGAGTTCAAATGAATGAAATGACAGTTCCTGTCCCACAAGGTTCTTAAGGTCAAGATTTTTGACCTTAGACTTAGTTTTTGACATGGGCCTAGTCCACTACAGTCCCCCCTTTGGAAATCATCACCTGTCCATGGGGATGAATTCCAACTATGGACTTACGCCGTCAATTGTCCTTGAAGCTTGATGTAATCCAGCAAAGAAACAAGAGTCAAGAGTAATCCAGCAAGGAAAACAAAAGTCAAAAGTAATCCAGCAAGGAAAACAAAAGTCAAGGTAATTCCACAATGTTCTTGGTAATTCCATTGTGTTGATTATAATCCCATATCGTCTCGATAATTCCATTGTAGCAATGCTTTAACCCCTTGGAAACAGAGTCTGTAATCCATTGGAAAAAGTCATATAATCCACAATGGTAAATCCACAACGATTGGAAGTGTTGATTAATCAGCATACAGAGGGGTACCCTTGGGTTGAACTGAAGAAGCGGCCACTGGATGAAGAGTGGAGACCAACGTCAGGATTGCAGGTCGCCTCCAGCGAAGGTAGTCTCCAGCGACGTCCAGCCTGTGTCGTTCTGGTTCAAATGTGTCATGCAATTATGTGGTTTAAGGTGGGCTTATGAAGGGGATTTTACATAAGGCCTTAAACTATATGCACCTGGTGTGTAAGCTATTATGGTTGGGAACAGCTACAACTACCAGTTAAGGGGTGGAGCATGCTGAAAAGGGGTAACTACAGGGGTTTAAGCCTATAGAAAAGGGTTCCAAACTACTTTTCCATTTCTAACTTGGGTTAAGTTAGCTTTACATGGCAAAATATAGTTTGGTTCAAATGTCTGTTGTCTTTTAGACGAACGACTTGAGATTGGGTGTTTGGTTTCCCATAAACGTTTTTGGAAGTCTATGGCGAGACTTATCAAAAAGAATTAGCTATCCCCCCGAATAGAATTGTTCGAGTAGGTTCGGCTTAAGCGTTGTGAG